CGCGGGAGAGGCTGGGCGATGCCGGGGGGGGGGGGGCGGCCGACACCGGGGGGCTGTAGGGTGCTGGCAATATGGTAATGCAGATTGAACAAGGGGGGGGAAACGGGGAGACGCGATGGGGGTCGGGCGAAGAAGTGGGGAGGCACGATGTTGTGTCAATGCAGATCGAGACTACGCACGACAGTCCCACTGCGTTGCAGGGTTCGGGGGGTGGGGAAATGGAGGTGGTAGCGGGGTGGAAAGGACCAGGGGAGGAGGTTCAGATGCAGGAAGGGGGGCTGCAGGAGGACCGGATGGTGGAAGTGGACCCCTTCCAACCTGCTTTTGACCCGGAACCAATGGAAGTTGACCCGCTCCCGGCAAATGCCCGTGCAGTGCCAGAAGGGTTATCATGTGAGGAGGGAGAGGAGGAGGGGATCCCGCCGCAGCATTTACCGGTAGAGCAGAAACTAGTTGATATTGCGGACTGGCTAATGACTAACCTCAAAGCGAAATACGGCCCTCTCACAGACGACTTCTGGGACAGTACGTATTTGGAACTGTTTCCCATGTTGGACACGAGCGCTGCGCTTAAAGGCGTCCTGGAAAATGGGCTGCAATCTGGTATTAAGTGGACGGAGGCGTGGCACAGAGTGGCCTCCATCGTATTAGCAAGGTTTCAGCCGCCCCCTGCATCACACCCAGCAGCAGCGGAAGAGATAAAGGTAAGCAATCAGACCGAGGAGTCGATCCTTCGATCAACAGTCTTGCCACCGGGCCCGGCCCCCTTGGACTTAGACGAGGATGCACCGCTGGACCTCGTGAGAAGAAGGAAATTAAGGCATTTGATAGAGATGGGCCAAGACACGGGGCCACTGTCACAAGAGGCGACGCTGCTACTCCCAGTTCGGAAGAAGAACACAAAATGGGAGGTTGGCCTGACACCGGTTGATCATGGCAAAATGAAAGGAGTTACACTGCAAGGGTGGTCCTCCTTCTTGGCGGGACACTGCAGATCTGAGGCAGCAGCTGGCATCTTACAAATGCAGCTGGAAACGCACATTGCAGAGTTTATGCCCCCCGGAGCACAGGCCACTGCCCCCCTGGTAATAGAACCTAATAGAGCCTCTCAAAGAGACACCCTCATCCGTTACGACCCGGACAAGGATGCAGGCTTGAGATGGTTTACCCCCCCACAACTGCTTGACATGCAAACAGTTAAGACCAAGGCCAGCGAGGTATGGACAAAACAGGATGTTCTAAAGCTCTTGTGTCCCCTCCTCAGGCTGGGTCTCCGAGCAGGGGCCGCGGACTGGGATTGGGATCAGCTGTCGTGGACTAAACTGTGAGCATCTGATAGCCACAACCAATGGACCCGGTCAAAGCGGTATACGGTAAGGATCACGTCTGGAATCAATGCCGTAGGGCAGCGGATCTCGACCTGCGGTCACTAAACGTAAATGGCCTAGCTTCGTGTAGAATGGAAAAAAAAAATGCAATATGGGATCTGATGAGAGGGGTGGGAGGTAGGGATTGGCCGGATGTGGTATGCATCCAAGAGACCCACCTGACAGACTCCCTAGAGCATGATCGTATTCACAAAATGATTTGGCCATATAGGGCTTTTAGAGCCCATGCTCCGAGGCCCGGGAGTGCGGGGGTGGCCATCTGGTTTCCCCCCGACTCCCGGGAAGACCCGGTGCATTGGGTCGTGGACCAGGAAGGGGGAAGATGGGCGTCGGTTCTAGTCACCCTGGAATTGGAGATCGTATGTATACTGTGTATCTATGCGCCTAATGCTGTAACCGAAAGAAGAGTCTTTTTCGAGGAACTCAAAACACAGATACCGGACGAAGTCCCGGTTATTATAGCAGGCGACTACAACGCAGCCCCGGACCGCTGGATGGATAGATGGCGAGTTCCCTCCCCGGCCCCGGCATACGTGGAGGAGGACGAGCGGATAATAAGAGACCTAAGTCTCTCCTTAAACGCCTTTGACTCCTTCCGGCGGCTTAACCCGGACACGCACTTTTTTTCGTGCCTGCGCAAGACCGGGACCGATAATCAGACCAAGTCTAGAATCGATCTGATCCTACTTTCAGAGGATCTGGCAGGGGCTATGCTGCTTGCAGCAATACTACCGGCTAGCCCCTATCCAAGACTCGATCACAAGATGTGCACAATAGCCTTGTCATTCAGAAAGAAGCCTGATCATGGACCTGGGTTCTACAAACTCAACGTTTCGATCTTACGGCACGAAGCTTTCCGACACTATATCAAAGACTGCTGGACATTTTGGCACACACAGAAGCAACATGTCCCACAAGGAATAGAATGGTTCAATAATGGTTTTTTTTTCCTAGGAAAGAAATGTCAAGAGTACTCTAAACAATTAGCAGCCAGAAACCATCAGCAGGAAATGAACATCCACTTACAACTTCATCAACTTGAGCAACAGGATAACAACCCACAACAGGAAAATAGCCAGCACRCWCAACCGGAGGAACACTCAGAGACACAATCGGACAAACACTCAGAGACACAAATCTTACAACAGCGCCTCCAAACCTTTGCCGCACAACGTTGGGAAGGTATTCGTATCAGAGGGCGACTAACATGGCAGCGAAAGGAAGGCTCTATGGACAAAAAAAATTTTAGTCTGGCTCGGGCGCGCATGCGCAGAACAACGATAGAAGCGCTTTATGACCCACATTCAACACCCAGGGATGTGGTCTGTTCTACACCCCAATGTATGCGGATAGCAAGGTCCTTTTTCAAGGACCTATTCACGTCCAGGTGTGCGCATCAGGAGAAGACTGTCAGAGAAAAGGAAATTGAGGAATTCCTAGAACCACTGTGTAAAGCTCTTTCGTACCAGCAAAGGATGGAACTGGATCGGCCGCTGTCCAGGGAAGAAATTTGGACTGGAATGATGCAGATGGAGAATGAAAAAAACCCGGGAGCAGATGGGCTTCCCAAGGAATTTTGGGAAACCTTTTGGACCCAGATGGCCCCAGACCTCATGGATTTCTATAACTTGGTGTGGGAGACCGGAAACATGAGGGAGCTGGTGGGACAAGGGGTTCTCACGTTGCTGCATAAAAAAGGGGATAGGATGGATATTAGAAACTACCGGCCGATTACACTGCTCACAGTCGTGTACAAGATGCTTGCAAAAGCCCTGGCGAACCGGTTGATTCCGGTGCTGGATCAGATTATCCACCCGTCCCAGACAGGTTTCGTCAAGGGTCGCAGGATTCAGGACAACATTCTCCTGGTGAACGAACTGCTCAAGCTAACCAGACAAGATAAGCAAAATGCGGCGGTGGTCTTCATAGACTTTGAGAAGGCCTACGACCACGTGGACTGGCTGTTCCTGGACCGATGCATGGAAAAAATGAATATAGGCCCAGTCTTTCGCCGTTGGACTGAGATACTGCACCAGAATGCCACCACGTGCGTCCAAATCAATGGCAGACTGACACCGGTATTTCCTCTACAACGGTCGGTCCGCCAGGGAGATCCCCTGGCCCCGTTCATGTTTATAATAGTAATGGAAGCACTAGCAGCAAACCTCCGTGCTAATAAAAACCTAAAGAAGCTGCAGGTCTCAGCCATTCCGGAAGAAGCTATTCCTGTCAGTTCGATGTTTGTTGATGACTTGACACTCATAATGGATGCTACCAGTGAGAACATGGAAGAGATCAGGCGACTGTTTGATAAATTCATGACGGTTTCGGACATGACAGTGAACTGGGGCAACAAAACCCTTGGGTGGTGGATACACCACCAAGGGGCGCGCCCCCCCGAGCTGCCGGAGGTTAGATGGCTCCCGGAAACGGCCCCGGTCAGAGTCTTAGGAATAATGTTGACGACAACAGGGAAACCGGCGTTGAATGATGAGTGGATTCTTAAACCGACCCTGAAGAAGTTGGCGCGTTGGAATGACAAAAATACCTGCTTAATCGGTAGGGCCTTAGTGATCAACAATGTGGTGTTGGCCGCTCTTTGGTACAAATCTGCAATATGGGCGCTTAGCAAAGGAGCGATACAGTCCCTCAAACGACAAATAATGGCATTACTGTGGAGGGGTAACAACGAACTTACCAATGTTATACATAGAGTAGCCTGGACGTCGGTGATCCAACCCAAGGACAGAGGGGGCTTGGGTATTCTTGACCCAGACACTCAGGTCACAACGCTAATGATGCAGTGGATCAAGCGTCTGGTGTTCACCTGCGACCTCCCATGGCATGCCCTGGCGCTGGAACAGATTGCCCGACTCGCCCTGCCAGCTCCTCGAACAATAAACCCTCTGTCTTGGCTGGAAGACCGCTTTTGGACCCTGCCTAGACGCCCCCATGCGGGCCAGGACCCAAACAGGGATACAGCCCGCAACGATCTTGTTAAGGACGATTTTTGGATCCGCTTCCTGAAAGCCTGGCGTCAACTTCCGTTGCCAGACAAAACTGGGCCAACCCGATGGGAGGAGGTGGCTCAACAACCCCTGTTCGGGAACCGAAGTATCACAGATCGACAAGGAAGGGTCTATCGCAGCTCCGACCCCCCGTGGAACAGCTGGGTCAGAAGGGGTATAACCAGAATTAAGGACATCTGGGACTCAGAGAGCAAAAGCTGGAAGACAGGGCCCCAGATGAGGCCGTTGCTGAAGCACTGCCATAATATAGAAGGCCACCTGGAGGCATTGATTTTCGCGGTTCCCCTGGAGTGGGTGCGCATTTTACGGAAAGGCCCAAAGCTGATGGACGGGGACTGGGTGGCGGTCCCCGGCGATTCAGAGAGTGTGGGAAATGTAGTGATAACGCACACAGAGGAAACGCTGGTTAATCTCTTCCACAAAGAAAACGATAATAAATTAACCAAGTACACCCCGRACGTAACAAGATGGTATCGGAATGCAGATCTATATAGGATCCGRGTTCTACAGGATAAGGAGGCTTGCATAGTATACCAGCYWGGGACCGRCATTGTGGATCTCCCCCTTGACCCGGAGGAGTGGCAGTGGTCCCCCGTGCGCAGAACCTTACAGGCACGGAATGTGARCCTCCAAAACCTGACAGTAAAAGCCACCTATCGTTTATTGCGCCCTAAGGTGAATCTGAAGGATATCGTTAAAAATCGGTGGAGATCCCAGCTGAATGTCGGGATTGATGCCATCCGCCCCATTCGGTGGTTCTCCCTCACAAGGGCCAAGCCAGCGAAGCTASTCTCACTACAGTGGCAGATAGAGCATCGCTGTCTCCCTACTAACGACTGGCTAATAGATCGCACCTATCTGGAACAMAAAGGTCTGGCACTSCCGTGGTGCAAATCGTGCYACGCGGCATTCCCTTCTCGGAAGATCCCAGAAACCATCGAACACATTTTCCTGCAATGTCCGGGGTCAGTTCTCACATGGCGATGGTGGGACAGGATTTGGAGGATGCTGGGCACCGGTACAGACTGGCCCATGGGACTGGAGGACGATCCTGTGTGAGACACGGACCGCCACTGCATCCAGTACCTTTGAAGAGAATATGTTTAAAATAGGAAGGCGGGGGGTTATGTGGGCGATCTGGAGGAGGCGTTGCATACATGTTATGGAGGGAGTCCGCATAGCCGGGGAGGAGATGACGGATATGATCAAACAATTCATACACCAAGAACTTATGACACAATGGCAGAAGGTAAAAAGTGTGCTGGATCCATGCCAGACCAAAAAAGAAACAGAACAGAAAATCCGACAATTTTCAAGGGACTGGCTGGGCGGCGCAAACGGAGGCCGAATTGCTTTCATCAAATGGGATGGGGGCCAAACTCTGGGAAATGCAGCAGGCAATCACGACGGCGACCGGGAGCTGTTCACTAAAGATTATCAGATTTGTTTTAGGGACTGGACAGCGGTGGGCCAAGAGATTCCGTTACGGCCACCGTCGGATTTTCCCGACCCCTTCCCTCCCCATCAGTTGGCGATAGTAGACATGCAGTGGTATGGGGCAGAATGAGCTCCGCAATGATGGCAGAACTTTCTTGACATGTCTGTTTTATACAAGGGACGCTGGACCCGGTTTCCAGCAGGAGTTGCGGTTTACAACTTGGATGTAGGGGGAGCTAGGAAGAGAGAGCAGATATCTGGCACCAGGTGTAGGGTGAAGAGCCCCCCCATGCGACCTCCTGCTCAGTTAATCCCCTGGTCTCCAGGGTAATCAATGCTGGCAGGATCATACCATGCTTTCTCAGGAGATTTGTACTCTGTCGATGTAAGGGACGCTGGACCCGGTTTCCAGCAGGTGTTGCTCCCCACCAATAGATGGAGTCCCCCCGGGCGCTAGGGGTGTCTGCTCGTATCAGCACCGCTAGCACCGATGGGGGTTTGCAAAAAAAAAAAAAAAAAAAAAAAAAAAAAAAAAAAAAAAAAAAAGGCTTTCATC